TTTCCTACTAAAGAGGTGCTGGTTGGTTTTCCGTGTAGAGTCTGTGACTGTTCAGTGGCTTGCTGCCCTCTATAATTGCTCTCTGGCTTCTGTGGTGTTCCCAAGTTGGACCTCCCAAAATGGAAAGCCCAGGAAACCTGGAAGACAAACAGCTATAGAAAGAAGAGCCTTGTTCTTCTCTCTTTCCCCCTCTCTCACTTTCCAACCATTTTTCTCTCTCTTTCACTGCATTTTCTTCTACTGTCCCTATCCTGAAAGTCCTCTTGCTGCTGGACGATCTCTTAGTCCTCCCTCCCTCCCCGCACTCAGAGGCTGTTGGCTACTTAGAATTCAAATCTCAAGACCGTATGACTGCTGATCCTCCCTTGGTGGGACAATCAGAAGATCCCTGGGTAGGGGGCAAAATCATTAAACAATCCGAAATTTTTATTCATTTAGATTTTTTTTAAGAAACTGAAAAATACCACAGAAAAACAATATTGTGAAAATACCTCTGCTTCTTTACCCTTTTTGAAATATTTAGCCTCTCTGAGTTTTGTAAGGTTTTTGGGTTTGTTTTGTTTTTGTTTTTTAGCTTTGCTGGCTAGTATTGGGCAAGTTCATTTAGAAACAGGCATTTTAGGGGAGGTTGAAGATGGTAGTGGTGGGAAGAGAGATTTGAAAACATTTTGTGAACCGAAAAATATAGCTACAAAATCAAGACAAAAGATGTGTAATTCAGGGTCTTTCCAGTGCTCTGAAAACTGCTTTGATTCAAACAGTTATCCATGAGCTGCCTGTGAGCATTCAGAACTTCACTATGTCTGGCACCTTGCTAACCCAGCAGCTAAGTGAATACGAAGTGGAACTCAGTCCTTCTGTTTTGCCTGGTTGTGATTCTCTCTTATGTGCTGCTTATGGGAGGGTTGTCTGTAGACTTTAGGATTGTAGGTACTGGAGTGGACATAACAGTGCTTACAGAAATCAGGCTTTAGCAGAGACATTGTGTGAAGGAGGGAGATCTCAATTTGCTTCCTACAGCACAGGTGAGTTTGCACAGTTGGTATTTCCCTTTATAGTGGACAGAACTATCCTGAAGTCCTTTGAAACAGAAGTGTGAAGAAGTTATTGTTTGTTTTAAATCAATTTCTGGCCCTGGTGACATTTTAAATCTTTTTCCATGGCAGAATGGATCCAGTATTGAGGGAAGATCCTATTTCTACAGCATATATCAGAAAAACTAAAATCAACTACTGGGCTATTGCCAAGTACTGGGCACCTTAGTGGTCAAAGGACCAGTAGGGGCTATAGACAGGGGTATCTGTCTCCATTTCCTAGCAGTGTGACCTTTCTGGGGAGCTAGGATCTCTCTGTGAGCCTTCATCTTGTGGTAGATGATTCTGGGTGCACTGAGCCCCCTCAGCCCTGTTGGTGTGCCAGACAGCCTTACCTGGTGGAGTTGCTTCTGCAGCCCCTGCACCCTGCTGCCAGCAATGATCTGCTATAGCATGCTGGTGGGGAGAGGAAGCAACAGTGCTGCCTGGAGGAAAGGAGAGGATTAGGCACAGTGCTAGTACAAAGAGGCCATGGAACTGCTGTGGTTTTTGTGCCCAATAGCTGTGACATCAAGCAGTGAAATTCCTCCCCCAACATGTGGGTGTCTTGCACATCATGAGAGCATCATGAGTCCGTATTTCATGAGGAAATAGGAAAGCCAGGCAGGAAGGCACTCAGAGTGGGACCAACCAGTCTTGTTTTGGTGACTGAGCTGGAGGGAGCCATCTCCATGGACAAGCTGGGGATCTCCCTGTGCCTGACAGTGCTACTCCAAAAGGGAGGAGTAGCTGGCACTAGACAAAGCACAAGAAATACCCAGGAGCTAACATCGCAATTCTTCCTGCTTTGGTAGCCAGTGGGTATTTGCATCATAGAAAAGGACTTTTATTTCAGATTAAGCTGAATTTAGGCCAGATGTATAAGACAAGAGTTGATAAGAGTGTATTTGTCTGAATGTAGACAATTTTTTGTCTTGATGTGTACCTTTTTAAATTTAACAGTGGTACTTACTACTGCTACCTTTCTCCTTGTGTAGCTCCTATCCTCAGTAAATCTCTGCAGAATTAGCCTTCCCTAGAAGAGACTTTCTGCCTATTCAGTATGTGGGGAAACTAAGGCACAGAATGGTAATGAGTTGCAAGGTGTCACTATAAGCTAGGAACAAATCCAGGAAAAGAGCCCAGCTTTATCAGGCTCTTAGCCCCTTCTCCCTGTGCAGGGAAAGCAGACAGTTTCTGTGGCCTGTAAATGGCATCACTGATAGCTGCTCTCCTTCCCATGTCAAAGCTCTGCCTGCCAACTCACCAGGAGATGTGTCTCTGCTCTTTTTTCCTTTGCAGGAGGCCTGGGAGAACAGTCTCTTTTGTCAAGTGAGAACACCACTTCAACCGATTGTAGTAACAAAGCAGTTAAAAAGGGTAATGTGGTACCCCACCCAGACCTTTGGGTATCTTTTATTTACTTTTTTATCCCCTGTAAAACCATGTTTTGTCCTGTGTACATGTGTGTGCCGCCGTACCTAGGGGACCAGCCCTGCCCAGGTGTCTACGTTTATTGCTGTTGGTGAAATCTCTGCCAGGATGAGTTTGCCTTGTGTAGTGTGGTGGGTTAAGCCTAGCCAGCAGCCAAGCACCCACACAGCTGCTCAGTCACTATCATCTTCCTCCAGCAGGACAGATGAGAGAGCAGGAACAGCAAAAGTGAGAAAACTCATTGATTGAGATAAAGACAGTTTAATAAGTGAAGGAAAGAGGAAAAAAACCACAAACCCAAGTGATATAGAGGCAACTGTGCACCCTCATCCATAAGCAGACTGATGCCCAGGCAGTTTCTGAGTAATTGGGAGACAAAACCCTGCAGATTTTATTGCTGAGCATGGTGACATATGGTATGGGATATCCATTTGGCCAGTTTGGGTCAGCTATCCCAGCTGCATCTCTCCAAGCTTCTTGCCTATCCAATGTCTACTTGCTTGGAGAGTGGACGGGGCTCAGCAGAGCACGCAAATGAAAGCCTTGATGCTGTGCAAGCACTTTTCAACAATAGTCTGAACATTGGTATGTTATCAACACTGTTTTAGACACAAATCCAAAATATCGTACCTTACAGGCTGCTATGAGGAAAGTTAACTTCATCCCAGCCGGACCCAGTATATACAGGTAGCCATGACTGTCACCAGGACAGCAAAAACATTTTACTCCAAGGCAGAGAATATAATGCTGGCTGGCTGCTCCTTGCTGTAGACAAGTTTCAACTATACCAGCTTAAGTTTCTGTTCCCATGAAACAGGGCTATCATCCAAGCCAAGTTTTGCAGTTGGCTTCTCCCACTCACGTAGGTAAAGTGTTGCTTACAGGGTCAGTCCAGACCTGGCATCTTACAGGCATTCCCACAGGGTTGCCCTGTTCTATACAAGATGTTTGTAACCCACTGTGTGCAGGAGGGACTGTTGGTGCTTCTGCTTGCAAAGCTATGTTGGTGCTTCTGGTGGCCTGTTTCCACTTAGAGATGGGCTGGTGCTGCTGTTGGCAGCCCATGTCCCTGACTTGGGAAGCAAAGCTATAGCTGGTCTTGCTGATTTCCATGCAAATCACAAGGCCGCAACTGGAGCTTAGATCCCTCCTCTTGGAGCTTCAGAGAGGTCCACCAGCACAGAGGAGCCACTGCCAGCAGTGATGTGTCTCAGCGGGAGAAGGGGGTTCCCCTTGGTGTGACCATTTAGGCCAGGACTCTGCAGGTGTAGCAACCCTTGTACTCTTATTCCTTTGCCGAAGCCCAGCTGATGCATTGGCTGTGTGATACAGGCAGCTATCCAAGAAATGGTGTCTGTGCAGTCCTTACACGTGCTAGTAAAGCCGAACTGGACTGTGGCTGCTTTGAGAATTTGAATGACCCATAGCTCAGCAAATAGGGAGCAAACAGCCAGGAAGCTCTGAATTTTCTGCTGGGTCAGACCCACACCACATTAAAAGTGCAGCTCATGTAAGCATAACCAGTATCTGAGCAGAGATGCGGCAGCACAGATGCAGGGCAAGGTACAGAGTCTGCCTAGAAGCCTGTGTGAATCCTCAGGCAGGTTTTGTGGCCAGCACCAAGCACCACACAGCCAGGGCTCCTCTGCCTTTTTAGCAAGAAATGAGACACGTGTTCTGCTTTCCCTTTTGTATTTTTGCTCCTTTTCATTAAAATGAAGAGATTCAGCATGGATAGAGATTTGTGCTAAGTATAGAATGCCTCAGCTTTTCCACCCTGAGCATCCCTCCTCCAGCAGAGACTGTTTGATCAGTATGTATTTCCAAACAACCCAAGACCTAGCATGTGAAAACAAATACTCTTATGTAACACTTTTCAACCTTGAGTATAGGTTTCAGTCTAAGGGGCCTGCCCTCTTCATCCAAGGCCAGCTCAGATGAGTAGTTGTTGCTGTTATGAAGCTAGCCCTGACAGAACAAACCTTTGTCTGCAGATCTGGATGAGTAGCGTGGATTGAGAATATACAGTGACATCTGGGCTTGTTTGATCCCCTTACTCCTATTCCTCTTTTTTTGTTTAAGTAGTTGTCCCCATCTATGAAGTTGCTGTTGGAGACAGTGGGTGGCTAGAGACAGGAGGGTGTCCCTTTACACCTTTCTGGGAGAATAGGTTTGGCATAGTACATATGGAGGCTCCAAAGCAAGAAGGGCCAGGTTGCTACAGATTAGCTGTCTGTAAATCCCAAACAAATCACTTGCAAATCTGGCTATGGCTTCTGGTTTGGATTAACATCTTGCTTTTTCTTTTTGTTTGGGGTTTTTTGTGGTTTTTTTTTTTTTCTTGTTGTTGTTGTTGTTGTTGGTTTGGTTTGGTTTGGCTTTGTTTGTCTGGTTTTTTTTGTTGTTGTTTTTTCCTGAAGCTCCAGGGTATTACCTGAGGGCTGCACATGGAACTAAAGAGGCTTTAAACAGTGTTGCCACTCTGTCTTGCAGACGGCAGGCAGAACGCAACGCTTGCGAGGAGACTGAAGAGGAAGGAATGTAAAGATGAGTCTGGGATGGATACACACTCCTCTCCCAGAGTGCGCAGGGCAACCACATCCAGGGCTGAGAGGATCTGGCCCGGGGGAGTCATCCCCTATGTGATCGGAGGAAATTTCACTGGTCAGTAGTGAAAACATTGCTCCCTGTTTGCTCAGGGGTGAGTGTCTCAAAATGTGTGGGAGATCTCAGGAGCAGAGTTTCCACACAAATGACTCTGGTCCTTGGGAGCCTCTCTCCTGAGGCAGGGAAGGCATGTGGTTGCACAAGGAATTGTGCTCTGTGGAAGGCTGAGACTGAAGTGTGCAGTGAGATGGTTCTCTTGGAGTCCAAGGAGTCATTGGGTGACTTGGTCACTTTTCCTAATTGCTTCAGGGGCCAGCACCTGTGAGCTGTTCTCACCCACTGTTTCCAGAAAGGGATCCTCTCTGCTGTTGGAAGAGCAGGAGCAGAAGTACCCTGGGTTGCTTTTTGAATCCCCACTCAGAGAACTTTCCCTGTGCACTCTGCTTCCTGACCTGCTGTTTTCTGGGCACCAAACTTCAGGGTCTCTTGTAGGTGTGTGAGGGTGAGGAACAGTGAGCTGTGTCCCATGGTGGATAAGGAGCTGTCTACATTTAGCCTGTATCCGGGGCTCAGCTGTAACAGTTTCTCTCTCACCTGACAACCCCTCACCAGCCAGGAAGGGGAATCGAGAAAAAGAAAGGAGATCCATGGGTTGAAGTGAAAACAGATTTAATGAAATAGCACTAATACCAGCAAAGGTATACAAAGTTATACTCGGCCAAATGAATATGCAGCAGTCACAACAGGCAGGAGAGCAGTGCTCAGGTGGAGGGAGAAGCCAGAGGAGGAGCAGCAGGAACACTATCAGGAATCCCACAAGAGCTCTCCTTCCTCAGTAAAACTTCCTTTATAATGAGCCTGACATTATGGTCCATACCATACCTGTAGCTAACTCACGTCAGCTGCCCTGGCTGACTTGAAACTGCTAGTATGACTTGCCTATAATTCTATTCCAGCCAAACCAGGACAGAAGCTCTCCAAAGTATCCTTTTAAGGATTTTTATGGCATCCCCTGGGCCCTGCCCAAACTAAAGTGTCTCTTGAGGTGCAGCAGATATCGTGCAAGTCTCTTATGTGAAGCAGACAGACAACTTGCTCTGATGCCACCTTTCGGTAGCTCAGTGGTTCCCTAAGGGATTGGTTTCTTTGACTCATGGATGACAAAAGCTCTGTGCCTCACTGGAGTCAGCTCCTTCCTGTCTCCCCCAGGAAAGGGGAGAGACATCTCCTCTGCCTCCACCATCTCCCACTTAGATTCAGCAGACCTTATTCCCTTGGGATCCCATGATGTATTTTGTCCCAGCACCCACACTGCTGCCAGGAGTTTGTGAAGCCCCAGTGGAAGGGTCTGTTCACCTCCTACAAAAGGAGGGACACATGCAAACTGGCAGAATATTGAGTAGCTTGCTAGCCACAGCTGTCCTGCCACATTTGTCGGAGAACAGCCATCTCCATCCCTCAGGGTCTGATGAGAGTGTCTGCTCTGTGCTACATAAGTTCCACTGCCCTAACCAGTCCAGAGTAGGTAACACCATCCTTCCATTTGGGTGACTATGTAAAAAGCCGCTATTACCATAGCACAGTTCTCTCTTGCATTCAGCTGGGTGTTTTGCCTCAGCTTAATCCCACCCTCTGTATTCCTCTCTGTGTACTTTCTGATGTACTTCTGGCCTTTCTCTGCTCTCTAGTCGCTCTTGAGAGTGGCAGCTTGCTCTGCAGCCCTGTGTGTACCGGAGGCTATGCTGGAAAGGCAGTACTGTAGGGAAGCCTCCTGCAGCTGTGTGCTGCTCTGGGGCATTGCTTCCCGGCTGTCTATATGACTGTTCTGGATACTGCTGAGTGACTGCTGGAGATACCCCACTCCCAGGGGCGGGGGCGTTCTGTGGCCTGTCTTCTTGCTAGTGTGAGACAGGCATAATACCCTACTTCTCAGATGTCTCTGTTCAAGTCCTGAGCTGTCCCTCAGTTTGAGCACAGAGCACAGAGCAGCAGTGTACCTCTACACCTTCTTACACTGCCCTGAGACTGCTCCTATGTAGTTTTTGCTTCTAATTTTAAAGATAAACTACCTGATAAGAGCTTTGCCTTAGTATTGAGGAGCATTTATAGCACTCATGAGGTTCCTGGGTCTCGGAAGGTGTGTGTGGTCGTGTTACATTGCATCATGAGAGCAAATTTGGCGCACCCCTGAGTAGCTGGTGCACAGATCAGAACACCCAGCAGCTCTGCCAGAATGACCTCTACCTAGTGAGGTGACATTTCTCATATGCAGAAATATTGATGTGCTTAACCAAGTTTTCTACCTGTCTAATTAGAGCAATTAATTAGTCAAGCACAAGGAAAGAAAAGGGTGATACATTTAGTACTATAGTTGAAAGTGCATCCCAGATTCCTAGAGCTGTCTACAGGTGTAAGATTGACTGTTGGAAAGCGTGACTGTTCCCCTATCCAGATGAAGCCCATTAGAGATTTTCCTGAAAGCCAGGCCTTCACTGTTTGCTCTTCTTGGATTTCTTTTTCAGGAACCCAAAGAGCTATCTTTAAGCAAGCGATGAGGCACTGGGAGAAGCACACTTGTGTGACGTTTGTGGAGAGAACTGATGAAGAGAGTTTCATTGTGTTCACGTACAGAACATGTGGGTAAGTGGCTCACACACTCCTATCTGTGTTGCACACATCCCTGTAATTGACAAATGGTTTTGTAAGTCTAGCTCTGGTCAGAACAGACCAATGGCTACAAGGGGGAATCTCACAGACGTGCATCTGGTCACTTCCAGTAAGGATTGCCTGGATAATTTAGTATTTGGTCAGAAGAAGGTGCTAAGCTTTTCTGGATTCTTTTTGCTGCGTTAACACTTAAGTGTATATATGCATTTTTATAGATATGCACTTATGTATTTTCTTTATACATGCATACAAACATACATGTAAGTACGTATAGTGTATGCAACTGCTGTCCTGTCCTGGCCCTGCCAGATACCATCTTCTGTTCCTGTGTGTCAGACTTCCTCAGTTCACTGATGTGCTGCATGGGTTCGTGGGTTTTCTTTTCCAGATGTTGCTCATATGTGGGTCGCCGAGGAGGGGGCCCTCAGGCTATATCCATTGGAAAGAACTGTGACAAGTTTGGTATTGTGGCTCATGAGCTGGGTCACGTGGTGGGTTTCTGGCATGAGCACACACGGCCTGACAGGGACCAACATGTCACGATCATCAGAGAGAACATACAGCAAGGTAAAATAGCACTTCAGGTTATTCCATCTGACTTTTGGGTGGGTGGAAACCTTTCTTGCTGGACTTTTGGAAAACTCTAGTGGTATGTGAGCTGGGATGGAGAAGAAGAAATATTGCTAGTCCTTGCCTAGAATGAGGGTCAAAATATTTGGATGAATAGAGATTTTGGATGTCCAGCTGGTATTGTTGGAGCGTAGGAATATATCCCTTTCATTCTAGGCTCCCAGAGGTGGAAGGCGCTTTTTTTTTTAAAATTATTATTTTTTTTGAGTGATTTGGTTTTTTCTCTTTGTGTTTGGCATCACAGGTCAGGAGTACAACTTTTTAAAGATGGAAGCTGGGGAAGTGAACTCGCTGGGAGAGACCTATGACTTTGACAGCATCATGCACTACGCTAGGAACACATTCTCCAGGTGATAATCCAAGGTTACACATCTTTAGGACTATTTTCAGTAGTTGTGATTAGCTCTGTGGGATACGTGGAGCCTAGAAGGAGACCTATGATCTATTGCAGAGACTTGCGGCAGTTGCAGTGAGCTGCATTGCAAAGCTTGAAAAATATTTGAAAAAGCAAGGTGGGTGAAGAGAAGTATGGTGGACTCCTGTTTTTCCCTCCCCACTGTATTCACCCAGTGCTAATAATCTCAGAGACCTTCTGAAGCCATGTTAACGTGTTTTGCAACCTTGCCAGGTAGCGCATATGTATGTGTGTGCATATCTGCCCATGTGCAAGGGGAGTAATGCTAAAACCAGCTTTGAATCTCTTGGTTGTCCAGCTCATGCGTTGGAGTCATAATATTGCCTTCAGAGTCCCTAGCAACTTTGCCAATGCAGAATTTAAACTCTGGATCGTGATCTTTAATTACTTGGGTATTTTCTTAAACATTTATGCATGTGCTCATACTATGAGAGGCCAGATTACAGCCTCTGCATCTCTGTGATTCTGTGTGACTGGGTTCTTCATGGAAAAGTTTTCAGTCCTGTTCCTGTCCCAACTGACTGTCCAATTTCTGTGTAGGCTGTTTGCCCTTGACTCCCATCTCATCCCTCCAGATGGAGCCCATTTTCTGATGAGACAGCTCTACTGGATAGAGAAGTGAAATTAACATAGTTATGTCCTGGATTTGGAATGAGAGTTACTGGATGACCAGCTTCATTTTGCCGTATTATTTGACCTTTTTTTTTTTTTCCAATAAATCCCACTATTGCTCCTTCCCAAGGAGGCAGAGCACAAATATTTGCACCCTTGAGAACTTTTTGTTGCAAAAATTAAAGGTGTCTTTGGGGCTTTTCAAATTTTCTTACTCCCCAGTTGTATGGAAGTGCCAAGCCTATTGGTTTTTTGCTTTGGTTTCTGAAGCTTCATGTCAAACAGGGGAAAATTATCAAATTTGCTGAAATGCTGCTTGTTCTGGCAGGAGGAGATGGTGGCTGGGCAAGAGTGCTTTGCAGTCTTCAGAGATTTCTTTGTATCAGATACTGAAAGCAAACAATTTTTCTTCCCTTGAGGCATCTGCTGGACCCTTCCAGCACTTGCTAAATTCTAAATGGTTAGAATTGTCTTGCACAAAAGCAGGATTAAGTTATTACTGCCATTTATATTGTGGATGCCTTTGAGTCTGTGTCTCTTAAAAACCAGGGTCCTTCAGAACACTGCTGGGCCAAAAAGGGATAAAAATAAATGGCAAGAGTCCTTCTAAATTTAAATTGGTGCTTAATAGGATTTTTAAGTCTGTTTTCTTTAAACCCTTTGTCTCTGTGACCCACCCTCACCCCAGTAGCAGTCTTTGTGCAGTAATTGAACTGAGCACTGAGTGCCTCTGTGGGCTGATTGTGCTATCACCGTAAATAGGCAGTGCTGGGAACAGGCTTTTACTTTACCAAGAGCTGTCTTGACATCTGCTCCCCTAAGGGAATGATGCTTACTTTGACAAATCAGTAGAGATTTGTGAGTGTATGTATGTCTTCTTCCCACCTCACTGAGTTTTGTGAGTGCTGGCCAATTGCAACCCAAACTGACAAAAAAGCGTAGAGCCTGTGAAGTTGTGGCTAGGAATGGGAGAGAGCCCCTGTGTCACACTGCAAAGGAAGGACTGTAGTGACCATGTTAATACATTAGCAGACACCAGAAAGTCCACATAGGAAAAATATGGTATGAGCACCCCACCAGTGGAGATGGGGTGTGTGAGTGAGGAGGAGGTGAAGGTGAAGGATGCAGAGCCATGTCTGTGATGTATTGTCTAGAAGCAACTCTTATGTGGCACTTAGCACAACCTTGTTTATAACTCCTGTGAATATTGATGAGAGCAAATCATACGGTGTTTGCCATGGTCAAATGCTCCTGCAAATCCTGGGACCTTTTTCTGAGACCCAAGAGTGCTAGCAGTGGAAATTGTTTCCAGTGGTGCTTTTGAAAACTGCTGTAGGAGTCACTCCTCGTTTTCAGTTCACAGCAAAACATGTTCCTCATTTGCGTCTGTGTCTAATAGGAATAGGAGTATGGCACCAAAGACTGTAATGACAGTAGTATCGAGTTTTTACCGTGGGAATTTCTGTTCTTGTCTATGTCAGAAAGTTGCCTGTTTTGCAGAGAGTGGCTGCAGGCTTTTATTTCCTGGTGCATTTCTTATAGACATGGCAGCAAATTAAATTGAATATTGCTGTCTCATTAAACAATTTCTTTTACAGCTGTCAAGACCCATAAATGGCAGCTTAGCAATAAGAAAATTTAAACCTCCACAGAGCCCTAAGCAAATAGTGGGTTACCTTAATTCACTAAGCCTCTTGCTAGTAGATATGGCAGCACAGCCTGGAGTTATGAAACATGACCATGCAAAGCTCGTGCTCGAATCAGGATACAGGTAGCACTGCCTGCGTGTCAAGGGGCGTCCTTGATGCGTTTGCAACACACCATCCTAATCTTGCACAAGATGTATGCACATCTTCTGCAGGTTTTACTGTGTGAAGTAGAGATATGTTGTCTCTCTTCTGCACGTGGGGATATAAGTACAGAGTTGGGACAAAATGTAGCTGGCTGCAGCTGAGTGCTTAACCTGCCTTCCTTGAGTGGTGTTTAAGCACCTGCATCTATTGCCCTTAGATAGGATGGTGAATGTTCAGGATTTCCTGAGATTAGTTCATAATTTCCTAACGTTTGCATGATGCTTAATGCATTCAGGATACTATGTGGATGCTAGTGACTCTTGAGAATATCTCTTCTCAACTCTTCTCCGTTGTTCTTAGTCGGTAGCAATGGTGGGTTGTTGTACTTGACTTACCGATGCATTGAGCAGCTAATGCATGTTCTGCCCATGCCTGGACAGCAGGAGAATGGGGCATCGAGGATTCTTGGGTTCTTTTCCTACCGCTGAGAGGAAAGGTTGGGTGTCTTATTCAAGAATGATTCTGATATTAAGAGTTCATGAGCTGCTCTGTTTAATGATGTCTGCTTGGTGTTTATTAATCTGTGAGCCAAAGTATCGGTGCTCTTAGAGACACTCAACAAATGTGCAACTTAACATCATAAGTGTTGTTAAGCAGATGCAGTTTGAGTGGAAAGCATGGGGCTGCTGGGACCTGTGTGGTTTAGACCAGAAAGACTCTCTGCCGTTTTCAGTTCCTTTGATTGTAAAATGAGAGGAACTATGCTTACTGCCTCCTAATTTGTAGTCATGTTCAGCAATGCATGTGAAGGGAGTACAAAATTCAGTTGATGCAAAAAGCAAAACTAGAAATTTTACTGCCCCAACCTAGGGTACGGCCTTCTGGAATAAAATGTGTTTGGCCAGTAATAATGTAATTTGAAGCTGTGGGTGGTTTGCATTGTGTGAGCAATACCCTGGGTGTATGCTGTGTGCAGAAGGCTGGGGGCTGTGAGTGCACAGTTGTGAAGGTTGGAATGGGAAAAAGAATCAAAAGCTTGCACGTGCATGTGGTGGTTTCTCTATTAAATTTTGCCATTCTTCCCTGGCTGAGCCTGGGGATCTGCAGGAAGCATTTCACTGGCCCCAGAAGTATGTCCCTGCCGAGTTCTTCTGTGAATTCCTGAGGCAGCTTGAAAACTTACTGTGAACAAACCAGCCTGTTTCTTTGTTTTTGGTGTTCCTATACATAAAACTAAATAAATTCAGCCTGAGGCATGCAGCTGACATGTAGAATGCCAGCCTGAATTTGTCAATCAAAATTTGATGGGCTTACCTCAGAGCTTTTAAGCACTGATTTTGGTGCTGATCAGGAGTTTTCCTATAACTGAAAAAAAAATCCAACATCCCCCATGCAAGAGCTGATTCTAGTTTTCAAAACAGATTAAATTCCTTCCCCTCCTTTTTCAGTTTGAATATTCATAAAAGAATTTTCACCCACAAAATATGTTTAGTAGAATGATATTTTCTGTTCAAGAATACTGATTGCAGCTCTGGACAGCTGTGATCCAAATACCCTGCTTGCAGTATTTATTTAAAATTAAACACCAGATACACCAGAAGGCTGTGCTGTCATTCAGCAAGACCTGGACAGGCTAGAAAGTTGGGTGGAGAGGAACCTAATGAGGTTCCACAAGGGCAAGTGTAGGGTCCTGCACCTAGGGAGGAATAACCCCATGCACCAGTACAGGTTGGGGGTTGACCTACTGGAGAGCAGCTCTGCAGAGGACTTGGGAGTCCCAGTGGACAGCAAGTTAACCATGAGCCAGTGATGTGTGCTTGTGGCCAAGAAGGCCAATGGTATCCTGGGGTGGATTAAGAAGAGTGTGACCAGCAGGTCAAGGGAGGTTATTCTCCCCCTCTACTCTGCCCTGGTGAGGCCACATTGGGGGTACTGTGTCCAGTTTTGGGATCTCCAGTTCAAGAGAGACAAGGAGCTACTGGAGTCTAGCGGAGGGCTATGAAGATGATGAGGGGACTGGAACATCTCTCTTACAAGGAAGGCTGAGAGACCTGGGGCTCTTTAGCCTGGAGAAGAGAAGACTGAGAGGAGATCTTATCAATGCTTACAAATATCTAACGGATGGGTGTCAAGAGGATGGGGCCAGGCTCTTTTCAGTGGTGCCCAGTGACAGGACAAGGGGCAGTGGGCACAAACTAGAACACAGGAGGTTCCACCTGAACATGAGGTGGAACTTCTTTCATTTGAGGGTGGCAGAGCACTGGAACAGGCTGCCCAGGGAGGCTGTGGAGTCTCCTTCTCTGGAGATATTCAAAACCCACTTGGATGCAGTCCTGTGCAACCTGCTGTAGTGAACCTGCTTTATCAGGCAGGTTGGACTAGATGACCTCCAGAGGTCCCTTCCAAGCCCTACCATTCTGTGATTCTGTAAAACCAATGCAAAAAAACCCACTCTCAGACTCCTTCCCAAGGCTCTTATGCAGCTGAGCAGCCCAATGAACAGAATTACTTGTGTACTTAGAGCTTAACCCATACTTGAAAACTTTTGTATCAGGACTAGGCAGCATCAAAATTATTGCTTCTGCCCTGATTTCCCATTGGACTCTACAGACAGTTGTAACCTGTCCTTCAGAAAGAGAAGTCTGCCTCACTAAGCTGATGCTGAAGTTTCAAGCTCACTGTTAGCCTTGGCACCTCCAAACCTGTTAGGCATTCAGGGGTGCAGTGAAATGGTTGCTGTGGACCAGACAGCCTGGCCGTGAAACCTTGGACTTTACCATACCGGAGTTCAGGTTTCTGATTCCTCGTTCCCACATTAGCTCTGCAGTCCTAATGCTGCCTTGGGGTCTCTCTTGTGTGCAAGCTCTTGCTTGGATGCACGGACTTTGCATTTTTGTTAAAGTGAGGCCCAAACTTAAATCCTTTACTGAGATCAGAACTACAGAGAGCTCCCAAGTGTGAAGTACCACATGGAAGAAATCGTAGTGAGGAAAAAGAGGCAGGGACAAGTAGAGTTATTAGCTTGGAAATTCATGTAGAACAAAGGTAGAGCACTTGATCTTTTTCTCTTGTCTGTGGCAACTACACTCACTGCCAGCCCAACCCCATCTGCTACTGAACAAACTCCCTCTACTCCTTTGGCTTAAGTGTCCAATCTGTGCTCTTGCTGAGCCAGATGTGCCATGAACCTTCTGCAAGAATATTTCATTGCCTTTTCTGATTTATGTCAAGGAATGTGTCTATACTCAAACAGAGGCAGCAGCAATCTTGATATATCAAAAGAGGAATTTACTGGCTTGGCAGACTCTCCTGTACATTTGGAAACTATCTGCTGTAGTGAGAAGGCCACCTCAAGTCATGCAGTTATCACAATCTGCATTACTCTTGCTTCTTCGCATGGAATATGTGGTCAAGGGGATGGTGTGAGAGGCCTGCCAGGATGACTTTCTGTGCATCATGTCACTTTCCCTACTTCACTGCTCTTTGTCTCTCTGTTCTTCCCTTTAGAGGGGTTTTCCTCGACACCATCCTTCCCCGTCGTGATGATAACGGGGTCCGGCCAACTATTGGTCAGCGTATTCGCCTGAGTCAGGGAGACATCGCTCAGGCAAGGAAGTTGTACAAATGCCCAGGTAAATATGGCTTGCGGAGATGGCCTCAGCTTTATTGTAGACACATGGTTTATATGGAAGGCACTGGAGTTCAAGAGCACTGTAACGATCCCTTTGATGAAAGAGACTCAGGAAGGGTAGACCGTCAGATCCTTCAGGCTGGAGCTGTGGGACAACTGAACTTGCTTAACATGTGTCTCCTATTAGTACTTTGCCATATTCCTGTTTGGTTCAAGGCTTCAGGTTCAGTGTGGTCCAGTGGTTCAGTCTCTGTTCATAAAAAAATGAAATTGTTGTGCAAGACTAGGAGTTGGCAAAGTGGCAGAAGCCTGTCTGGTAGACTGGAGTCTCTACACACCTACCATCAAACTTCTGTTGAGTTATTTATACAGTTGATGTCCCAGAGATGAGCCTTAAGGAAACCATAACTGTATCTCTGCGATTGTGATGTGTTGCACTGAGGCTTGGGAGTTAACATGAAAGAAAGCTCAAAGATGCTGATTTGTGAAACAACGGGATGCTGGAAGCCGGTGCTTTGGGCTGTTCAGGGGAGGGCTGTATCTGTCTTTCTGCTGCCAAAGGGTTGATAGACTGGGAACAGCTTTGATAAAGAACCCATCTACGTATGTAAGATGACCACTGTGTGTGGGTTGTGCTTTACGTGGGATCTGAAAAGATTGGCAAAAAGAGCGTTATGGTCACAAATATGATTGGGAGACTAAATCTACCCATCTGAACAAAAGGATCCTGTTAAAGTGGAGATGATAGACAGTGGAAGTTTATGTTAGCTGAATAGGTTAATGGAGAAAACCAAATTTCAGAGAAGCAATCTGCCAGACTTAAGGACAGGTTGAATGTGTGAATGTAAAGAGAGGCTTCAAGAAAAGATGTCACCCAGTCTGGTGCCTGTGGCATGGACTGCAGCGACTGAGAAGGGGGATAGCATGGGAGGTGTAATGCTCAGAGGCACAAAATTTAACAAGCTGTGTTGAATTTCTGCAGGTAATGAAACATCCATGAGAAGGTATTGGAGAATGAGAGAGTTGCCCTAATTTTGCAGAATGACTAATTTGTAATAATGCAGGGAGGAAAAGAAAGGACTTTTGCAAGCCGAGGAATTTATCTAAATGGGTTGGTCTGGCCAGCATATTGGCCCAGTTGAGAGTGGCTTTGAGTGATCATAAATGATTAATCCTCTTGGAATAAGCATATCACAGAAAGAGGGCACAAGGTGAGGAGGAGGGCTAAGGTTTACCAGTATACAGAGTCACATCTTAAGTGAGTGGCTGGTTAGCACTGCTCTGTGAACTATTCATGAGGCCATGGAAAGTGGTCAATAGCTAATGTGCAAATCAACTGCTTCTCTGTATCCAGCTACAGGTCAGAGAGTATGGGTTCATAAGGATCTAGAATGAATTCTGAGGACTTCAGGGTCTGTGATGTTTGTGGATCACTGCTTAGCTTATAGTTAGTGGTATAACTTTCTTAAGTGTGCTAGTTCTAATAAACTTATTTTCTTTTTACCACTCATAATTTTCTCTAATTCGCTTTTGGTTGAACACGATGTAGTTCTTGGAAAATTATCTCATGGATTAGTTTAGGGATTAGTTCATCTGAATTCTGAAAAAATAAATAAATAGGAACATCTTGCACCGTGTTTTCTGATTGAGTCAGACTTAAGCCAAGCAGGCTTTTCATTCCCATAGCTGGAAGCATCAACGACAGATTCAGATTTCTCGAGGCAAGCTGAAAAGCCACTTTGGCCTGAGGTTAAAGTCAAACTAAAAGCTACAAACCAACTTTCTTTAAAATGAGGACCCTTCTAGGTCTCAATTTTTCCACTTGCAAAGCAGAACTTTTCTACTTTTTAGGGGTTTTTTCCACAAGGCTTTAGCAGAGGTTACTGAAGTTCAGAACATATTTGGCAGCAGAATGATTAGAGCTTTAAAGCCTACTAACCAAATTTTCTTCAAACATCTACTGTTTTGGTTTGGTTTTCTTGTTTGCTTTGCATGAAACTATATGCAGGTTGCATTTGAAGAGAAGAGGTGCAGTATATTTAATGATGCTAACATCTTCAGCTGCCTTTTGAGTCTGTAGCTTGAAAAGTTTTTTTCCTCTGCAAAATGCCAAGCACAGGAGTTCAAAGGACTTCAGTTGTATGTTCAAGCAGGGTCTGAATGGGACTTTAGGTAGGACAACTTTGTCAGTAGTCAAGCTGAGGATTTTTAGGTAAAACTCAACAATATAGTCCAGAAGTTGAATGGCAGATGATTTCCCTTTTAGAAAGAGAGTGTCCATCTGAGGAATGCCTGAGAAAATCCCCCCCCAAAAGAGCTAGCATGATGGAGGATGAATTACAAGCATGCACTGGTACGAGCCAGAATGACTGCTGTTCTATTGTAAGAAACAGACTCTCTAACTCATTAGGCTGGAGCTCTTGTGGCTGCTACAGTTAGGGCTGGTTTGGCTTTTCCATTCTAAAACCCTGCTGTTTTAAATTGCTCTTAATTCCCCAAAGCTTATACCTGCTGGGTTAAAGTTAGTGCCAAGCCAGGTGAAACCAAATGAAATTTGCTGAAGGAATTTCTGGAAGGCAAGATGCATTACGCTACATAGTAGTAAATGCTAGATTTGATATGGCTGCATGGTTGAGGATTTGATGAGTATAGTCACTACAAAAGATTTTAAAATTGCACGTCCTGCTGTCTTGTGCTGTGCTAACTGTGCAGGAGTGGTTCAACTATAAATTGAGAATGGTCCTGCGTTATATCACGCCATCCAATTCTCTGTGCGTTTTCAAAAAGATGTGGTGTACTAGTAACCAGCTGAGGAGCAGTAAGTGCCTGTCACTCAGCTACTTTATTTACAAATGACTTCTGAACAGTTCACCTTCTCTACTTTGCTTTTTGCCTCTGTTCCTTTCTAGCTGCTTATGTGTGCAACAACCTCTTCACCATGGGCAAAACCCACCTCAGCTCAGTTTCTTGGATCCCAGAAGTACCAAACACTAGTCTTACTGGACCTGTTGGCTTCTTTACTACTAAGGGGATTACAATTGTATTGCTTTTTGGTGTGCTCTGCAAGAGATTGTGCTCTGCACACATACATGCATTGCTCATTATCATGCTTCCCCCTGCACGTGTAAGCAATTGCTCTCCTCTGCGCTGGAAGGACAGCCCCTCCCAGAGTGTCTGGAGGGTTTTCTCTGCAAGGTTCAGATAGTTAGCTAGATCTCCTTTCATGATGTTTTAGCAGAGTAGTATTTGGTAGTAGATACGTTAGTTCTATAATTACACAGTCTTGCCAGGAACCATGTAATTACACTTAGGAGAATTAAGTCTGGGCTGTTGGAAACCTTCACTGTGGTTCAGCTGAGGGCAGTAATCCTCTTTGACCTGTGTCGTTATGGTCATGTGGTATGTGTTCCCAGTAATTTAGAGCGCTCTATCATTTCATATTTGTTTAAATAGGTTTTTAAGCAGAGAAAAAGAACGTTTATTTATCTTGATGAGTTATGGATTGGAACCCCATCTTTACTGGGACACTTTGTCAGACGTTTGCATTCCTAGAGCCATCCTAAGGTGGTGGCCACTCCAGACCGTGCATTGACCAGTGGTTATGCCAGAGATCAGCTGAAGAATGGCTTGCTGACTTATTCCTCAGAATAAGTATGGCTGGGACTCAGCTTCTTTGTGATGTTTATCTGCTGGGGCAGCATGCATTTCTTGGTTGAGGGTCCTAAGAGCATCCTGGGAACTGGAACTATCCTAACAGATTCTGGCACAGATAACAAGGCCAGGCATCTTTGCAAGAGGTAGAAAGGAAATAAGTGTATTTATTCTGCAAATAGAAGTACAGATTTCTCCTCCAGTTCATGCACGTACTTTTTAAAAGCATCTCTCTCTGTCCACCTGAAGAATACAGGCAGCATCACCTTCCAAACATTTTGGGAGAGGTAGGAAGATATTAGCTATTTCTGCAGACTTGAAACTAAAACTTACTGTGCAATGCTCCTTTGTAGTTGTATGATGGTAGGGAGAGTTCTTAGGGCTCAAAACTGCTTGAGAAGGAAGGAGCAATGTAGAGGTTTTGACCTTTAATTTATTTTCTTCATTTTTCTGGGGCAGATGTGTGCATTTACCTGCCTGTTTTGCTCAGTTGAGTTTTTTTCTCATTTTCTTATTTTAGTTTAAAATACCTTTGGTTTTCCTGACAGGAATTTGCCAGATCCCACACTGACCTGTGTCTTGAAATACGTACAGCTTGTTCGTAGGAGTGACTCCACCTTCCAGATCACTCCTACGAGCTGTTTGGTTGGGCAAAACCCCTTTTTTGTCCCCATCTATTGTTTGTCTGATCTGATCTGTCAAGTTGTGGATCAAACTCCTTCAGGGAAATTGAGAAATTCTGGCCCAGGTGATTCCCTCTCTCCTTTTTGAAGACATTAAACTTTTCAAATAGGACCAGTCTCTTTTCACCTCCAACTTCCAATCCACCCATCTAAATGTAATCATGGCTGAAAAATTAGTGTGTGTATTATAGCATCAGGAAGAGGAACATCCCCTGGCATTTCCATGAGAAAGGGAGCCAGATATTCGGCCTTGTTGGATCTTTCAAAGGATGGCTACTTAACAAGGGATTTTTGGGAGCTGCCTTATCGTCACTGAGGAAACCAAGTTGCAAGTCAAGGGCAGCTTTATAACATCAGCAGGTTATGAAATTGGAAAAATAACTGGAAAGCAAGCAAGCCAAGGTCCCTGCTCCTTGCAATAGGTGTTCGCATGTGTCTAGTGAGTACTCTGAAGGAAATGGGAGCTTTGATGTTTGTGATCCTCCTACCTAGCCAGTCAGCTGCTCTGCAGATGTAGATGGTCACTTCTTGTTCCAGCTCAGTCCTCCTGGCTCAGAGAGCAGGAACTACAGTAGTCATGGCTTTCCCAGATGTTGGAAGCTGTGGTTCCCTAAAGGAGCATATGCATGTGCATATTGCTTGCTTCCCAAAACTCACTCTGGGATCTACATTTCATCACTGCAGCAGGCCACAAAACTGGGAAGGTGGAGAACAGAGTGAGCTGCAGTGCTCATGTTTTATCCTGCGCGGTGTGGCAGCAGGGTAGGTGCCGGACAGCCGAAGGATGAGGGCAGTGGGGCTTGCCCTGCTTTTGTTAGGATGTTTTAACCCCAAAAAAAGACAATTAACAATGCTAACTAAGGAGAACTTCATTGATCAGTTTGTAACAAAGGGAAAACAGATTTGCTAGTAGCACTCTTGGGGTTGCAAGGTGGGGTGGGGTTAATATTTGATTAGTGGATGAAATATTCCTTCTTAGGGTTGAAACTTACAAGTGCTGGTGGGTGGAAGGAAGATGAAGGAAGAAGCGTGCCTCTTTAAAAGCTGTTTCCCCTGTGTCCTTGCACTGATCATCTTCTGTCCTGGGAATGCTGGCAAATTTCACATCACCCCTTTGGCAAGGCCTCAGGCGGTCAATGACCTTTGGCCAGAATCATGAATGAATGTTCTTAGAGTACCAGCCACCAGCCTGCACACAGCAGCCATGTGCAAACATTGTGGTAGATCCTGATGTGTTTCAAAGAGTCACTTGTTGTTGCTGGTTTTTTCTCCCTCTCCCACAGCTTGTGGAGAGACCTTGCAGGACTCAACAGGGAATTTCTCAGCCCCTGGCTTTCCAAATGGCTACCCCTCCTATTCCCACTGTGTCTGGAGGATCTCAGTGACCCCAGGGGAGAAGGTAGGTGCCACACTAGCACAAGGTGTACTCTGCACTTCCCTTGCATGTGGTTTTACTTGTGACGACAGTGTTAGCAGCTGCCAAAAGATCTCTGCATACCTGGAGTGCAGGGATGGAGCCTGGAAAGGCTCCTGAACACCATCACTGCCCTCCCGGAGATAGGATCAGGAATACATGGTCCTCAGGAGAGAAAAGGTCAAGCTGGAGCAGGGCTTCCTCGCACATCTGTGCTGCGTGTTGATCTCTGATCCATCCTCTCAATTTAAGGCTGAAGCCTGCATGGGCATTTCCTGCCACCCACTAGCTCTGGCCAAGCTCACCTTTCAAAGCCAGGTGCCAGCCAGATGAGTTAGATAAAATGTGCCAGCAAGCTGGGGTCCCAAAGGGAGCTGAGGAGCCATGGGTGACATCAGTGGCCTGCCCCTGTCATGCAGGCATAATATCCCTGTCAGGGGACGTCTGCTCCCCCACCTCGAAACGCTGAGCACAGCTGCACATCAGCCACCCACTCTGTCCACTTTCTTCCCAGCTCCTTTTGTTTTATTGATCTTCCTGTGGAAATTAAATCTTTCCTTAATCCACTAATACCAGCCCTTCAGGCCTTTCATGCCATACCAGGCTGCAAGAATGCGCAGTCCTGCTTGGGAGCTCCTCGGCAGAACGGCTTTGCTGAGGACCACCCTCGAGATGCCCTTAAGACTCAGACTTGAATAAAGAAGAGCAGAGCCTGCTCGTTTTGCAGCAGCCATCTTGCTCTGGGACCTGGTTCAGTCATCTGCAAGCCCAGTGCCATGCAGTGCTGATCTCCCACCATTAGCCACAGGGAGAGCTTCACCAAGAGCAGAGGTGCCAAGGACCATCCAGGTTTTGAAACTATGGCGGTGGGAGTTTTGTGGTGTAAATCTTACTGTAAATCCTCCCTTTGTCTCTCAGCTTCTTCAGAAGAGTTGTCGGATAGGATCCAGCATCTGAGTGCTGAACCACTAATGTTAAAAAGAAAAAGAAAAAAAAAGTTCAGATTAAATGCTTCAATTTACCTGTTTAATCAAATGCAGCAATTGATACAAAGTATCATCATAGGACTGAGGCATTAGCTTAGAACAGGTATTGGACTTGTACTATTCGTCTGCATAGAAACAGATGAATCTCCTTATGCTGTCAGAAAACTGCAAAAGTGTGAACAAAGTAAGTGACATTGTTACTGCACTCTACACATCCAGCCAGGGCTTTCGGGAGGAAAGTCTATTTTAATCTAACGATGTTTCTATGGCAGACTATAGATGTAAATTAATAAATGGGTCAAATCTTGCAAGGACGGAAATGCTGCAAGTACACCCCATCGGTGACTTCTGTAGGCCCAGAGCAACACCTGTAATCTGTGATACAGAGGGAGGAGACCAGAGGGATAAAATTTTAATGCTAAGTACTCTGCTTAGTAAATCCACTGAAGCATCAGTGATAGTGTGAGTGTAACTGTCAGAACCTGGAAACTTGTCAGCAAAATTACAAGCATTGTTTATATAACGGTATAGACTCCAAACATCTGTGTTTTGAGGCAGTGTGTTTCTCTATGGTGTTCACATTAATCAAAACCAAATACTCAATTTTTAATTTAAAAAACCCAATTTGGGCCTTTTTTTAAGTAGTATTTTAGTAACTGAGAAGTAGTGACTGAATTACAGAATGGATAGTAAAGTGCTGTCTGCTGTCATGTACTTTCATGGTTTCATTAAAATAGCTTGAGAAGCCTTTCTTTTTTGAGGAAAGCTGATTTAAAAAGTCCAACCACCTGTCCAACTGTCTTTTCCTGCATACTCAGACAGCACTGTAGCAGATGTGAAGCACATAATCTGTAGGATCTTCTCTTTAAAGTAGCTCCCTTCCCAAAGAGAAGTGTGTACTCTCTCCTTTCAGATTATGTTAAACTTTACATCAATGGACCTATTTAAAAGTCGTCTTTGCTGGTATGATTATGTGGAGGTACGTGATGGCTACTGGAGGAAGGCTCCATTACTGGGTGAGTAACTGTTTCATTTTAATTGCATTTTGTGTATTCTTATTGATGCTTAGGGGTGTGGGGAGGAAATAAACAGAAACAAACCTTCCTTCACCTGGAAGGAGACTATATCCAGCCAGTGCACTGGCCATCCAGAAATACCAGTGTGCCGTATTCACATCAAATGATCCATGCTCCATCCTTTGGTAGCAAAGACTTTATTCCTTCATTTTCCAGCTTGAGAAGTGAGGCAGAGAGGGAAGTGAGCCAGGGACATGGCTGGGACTGAAAATGTGGTCTCTGGAGTTTTGTTTTTTCCTAAGACTAGGGTGGAACTGTCAGGCAGTGAGAATGAAGCAGCCATACAGCTCCTGGCCCAAGCTACTGCCATTATTTCTCAAGTATTTGTGTTTACAAATACACAGTGGTCTGTACTTCTAGCAAGGAACTTGCTAAACCATATGTAGGATGTCGAACTGTGCAAGGGCTCTACGCTGCTTCTGTTCCCAAAGATCTCGAGGAAGTGCAGCTCCTCTGTGTCCTCCCTATTCCTCTGCCTCCTGCTATTTTAACTGAAAGGCTTCTGTCACCCTGAGGGGGCAGTCAGAAGTCCCACCTGCTTTGCCATTGGCTCTGATCCTGACTCCATCCCCTAACATTGGTGTCCCAACATCTAAAATGCTGCACTGCAAAACAGCCCCTTCTGCCTGAAAGAAGCAATCAGGTTGTGTAGCATCACCAGCTGTGTTAGAGGTGCTGTGCCTGTGCTGCAGTGTGGGGTCAGTGGACTTAGGGGTGCTCTGCTTGGCCCCACTGGACCCAGCCCTGGTACCAGATGAGGTGCTGAGGCTGAAGCTGTGCTGCTCTCCAGAGGTTTCTCTGGGCCTGCCTTTCAGCACAGAGTTGGCAGCCAGTTTTACTGCTTCCTGCCTGTTTTGGGGTTGGCAGCGTTTATTGCTGTTTTCTGCTGCAGGTGCGTCAGGTAACATTGTTCCAACAGCTGCAACTTAGCTCCTTGTTATTTCTTTCTTCTGCTGAGTAATTTAAAGGTATTTCAGAAGCCAAGCACCTCTCTGTCCCCCTAGTGCAGGTGGACCTGTGAGTGTTTCCATCTGGTAGGAGATGCTGCATGAGTGGCCACACTCCCGCAAGGGGCTGAGCCCATGAAATTATTTCGGAAGAGGCAGACAGACAGCAATTCAGCAGGGTGCAGGGAGGGGGATTAGTGTGAATTGTGAAAGCATGGGCTTCTTGCGGGGAGAAAAAAAATACATGTGTGCTGCATATTTTCCCAGGCAAGTGTGTGAAAACCCAGCCTTTAAATGGTGTATAACTTTTTATGAATGGGCCCTTTATCACACTCTGAGGAGTTTGCTCATTCTCGTTCCTCATCTGCGTCTCCTTTCCTTGACACCCTTGTTAAACTCCAAGTCTGAATCCAAAGGCAGTTGCTCAGTGACCCTAGAGGAAGGAGCTTTGCAGTGCTGATGCTGGCTGTTAGCATCGCCTTTGAGATTGGAGATGCTATTGGTACACTGCAGGGCTGTCACACTGCCCCAACAGTGCTGGGCAGCCTGGGGGCACAGGGGCTCAGAATTGAGTAGCTGAGTAAAGCTACGGTCCGAGATAATATTTGGATGGGTGGCTCTGCAGGAGAAAAGGGTTGGTGGTGAAACTGCCATTTGAAGAGAAACAAAGTTTGCAACTCACCTTCTGATTTGCACTGACTGGCTTGTCACAGAGGCATAGCTCTTGCATCCTTGAAGGTCATAGCCTTCCCAAGGCTGAAGTGGTGAAGATGAGGCAGGTGGGGCCAGAAGTGGCAGTAGCTGACTGCAGGCAGCTGATGAAGCAGGGGGCCTCTAGGCTTTTAATGCACAGGATTCATGCCAACTACTCTGCCCCCCATACATAGGAAAAGCAACAGCCTTCTCTGCCTGCCAGCCAACAAGCCTCGAACTAGCTGTCTCCTTATTCAATGTAGGCAACCACCAATGCAGCCTGCTAATGGGAACTAAGGTGCTGTGTTGCAGGTAAGGCATTAACCAGGTTTTTAATGAGTGGAGGTTGTTCAAGGAAGCCTTAGTCTGGTGTTGCAAGGCCAGGATCTTTATCACCGGTGTCCTGACTAAATTCAACCTGAGGAACTGGTCTCTGCCTCTTGTCAAATTCCCACTGGCGATTCAATTGGACAGGATGCTGAGGCCATGTTGAATTCAGTATATAGCCCTGCTGGTGTCAGGTGAAGTGAAAAACCATGTCTGCACTGAGTGCTCCCAGTGCATACTTGGTGCTTGCTCTGTTTCTGTGAGGAGCTTCTGGCTCGAACAGGTAGAGGAGCACCAAATTAGGGTTGTTGAGGTTGTTTGGGCTGCAGATGCCATCTGCAGCTGTTCTGTTTCAGGATTCATCCTTGCTGGCAGGATTCGGGTACTTACCAGTGCTGGTGCATGCCAGAGAGCTCAGAACCATGGAGCAAAAAGGCTCCTGATCTCTTTCTTTTGAAAGAGATTGAATGACTGCAGAGGCTTGACTGGGAAGAGGTGAGAGCAGAGGACGAGATAAAGGGTGTTTTCTCATCAACATGACCACCTCCTGCCCTCAGTTTGACGTGGACAGTTTTCTCTTGGGTGCAAAATGCTGAAGGAGTTTCTAAGGCCTAGCAAGTGGAAAGGATGTTCCCTAATGTCACATCTGTAGAAGGACTGGGGATGATTCCCCACCCTTGCAACTCATTTGCCCAATTACATGATCAAAACGAGTCCTTTTGAATTTACCAGGGCAACAGAGGCTGCATCTGTGATTACTGGATTCTGCTCCCAGCTGAATAAAACCTTTATTAATTTAATAATTGAAGAGAATATGAATTGGGGGAGGGGTGTGGGGGGGA